TTTGCATGAAATGTTCCCTTGGTATCTCTAATTTTCTTGAAGAGATCTCTAGTCTTTCCCATTCTGTTGTTTTCCTCTATTTCTTTGCATTGATCGCTGAGGAAGGCTTTCTTATCTCTCCTGGCTATTCTTTGGAACTCTGCATTCAGATGGGAATATCTTTCCTTTTCTCCTTTGCTTTTCTCTTCTCTTCATTTCACAGCTATTTGTAAGGTGTCCTCAGACAACCATTTTGCTTTTTTTGCATTTCTTTTTCTTGGGGATCGTCTTGATCCATGTCTCCTGTACAGTGTCATGAACCTCTGTCCATTGTTCATCAGGCTTTCTATCAGATCTAGTCCCTTAAATCTGTTTCTCACTTAGACAAACCGCTTAGACAATCTCAACTCTCTCTAAACCATAACTGAATCAAAGAAGAGATACTATACTTCCAAACAATTTAGAATACGTGTTAGTTGCTCAGTCATGTCCAACTCTTTGTGACTCCATGGACTGCAGTCCACCAGGCTCCTCTGTCCATGGTATTTCCCAGGCAAGAATACTGGAGGAGGTAGCCATTCCCTTCTCCAGGGGATCTTCCTGACCCCGGGATCGAACCCGGGTCTTTAGCATTGCAGGCAGATCCTTTACCAACTGAGCCACCAGGGAAGCTCATGTAGAATATATTTCTATATTTAGAATAGAAATATATATTTCTATATTTAGAATATAATAGTAATGAATAAAACCTCTGATGTTGCCTAAATTATAGGGCAAGGGAAAATCTGCAGTCTAAAACTTTTATTATTCATCGAGAAAGAATAAAAATCATATACTGTTTTAGAAGTCAGGGCAAAGATATCAAAACTACTAGAAACCCAAGAGGAAGACTGTGGTGCTGTCTCTTCTCTGCTCTCACACGGCTTTGTCAGCTACTTTATGGAGCAATTTAAGGAGCACTTTCAGTGGGCCAGTACAAGGTGCTGGACTGGAGAAGCAAATAGTGTCTCTTTGTGGAACTTTCAAGGTGTGTGTGTAAGAGAGGGAAAATATCAGATAATAAATTATAACTTCAAAAATTCAATGACGGTTATGAAGGTGAAGTGCACATTGCTACTCAATATCTCTAGTGTAGTGTCACTTCACAGGACTGTCTGTTGTCACTCCCTCCCTCCCTCCTGGTTTTCTCTGACTCTCCTTCTCCCTCTTTTCCTGTCTCTCCCTGCCTTTTTGTTTTTCTCTTTTCTCCTCTGGCTTTCTCTCTCCCGCCCGCCCCCACCCCCCCCCAATTTCCTGAAGACAATATGCTTATTTTTGCCTCATCTTGAGCCTAGTGCTTTGCTTGATAGCACTCAATAGTGGCCACTGAATGAATGTATTGAGAAATTAATGAATGAACCCTATAGGCTACTACTGAGTGGACACTGCCAGGCAATGTGTAGGTTACCATTTGATAAACTCTTTGTAAAAAAAATAACCTAGAGAGAATATAGGAAATATATACTATAGAGTATAAAATAGCCACAAAATACTGTTTAGACAAGCTAGTAGCCTGTTTGAGCAGCATGAGGTTAATTGAAATTCTATGAAGGGTAGTTTGTGTAAGGGAAAAGCATGCCTAGTTTATTTTTTAGAATGCCTGAGTGAAGTATTTCACTGTACTCTGGGAAATCAGTAGATGCAGTTTATTTTGATTTTTCACAGAATTTTGATGAAGGTTCACATCCAAGACCCACACTGGGGTGGGAACGTGAAGTGTCAAAGGAAGGACTGAGGTGTATGAGAGCAAAAGTAGTAAGAAAAGATGTGGGAGTAATAGTGAGGACTAAATTAGGGACGCCCTGCAGGGTAAGGACTTGGGATTTTATTGTGCTGCCTTGGGAGAGTTTTGAGAATGTTATCTGATTTATTAACTGTGAAGGATCTGGTTGCTGTGGGGCTAAACCATAGTTAAATAAGAGCAGTGCATCAAGACTAAATAAAAGGTTGCTGCAGTAGGTGATGGTGGTATGAACTACAATAATAGCAGTAATAGTAGTAAGAAGTGTTTAATCTAGAAGAATGTTGAAGGTAGAGGGAACAGAAATTTACTGTGATTTGCTGTGTGGTGTAAGAAAAACAGACTCGAGTGACTTAAAAGTTTTTGACTTGAGCCATGGAATGAATACATTTATACTTGTCTCCTTGCCATATTGCCTGCAGAGGAGTGAGTATTTCATGGAGGTTATTTCTGTAGGACAGGGAGATTACTTAGGAGGTTGTTGCAATCATTCTGGAAAGATGAAAGGGGCTTGAATCCAGGCAGCAGCTCTAAGTACAGAGAGGTATTCAAAGGTCACAGTCTTGAGAGACATTTAGGAAGTAAAAATAACTATTTAGGAAAGTAGTTTTGGGTATTTCAATAAAAATTCATGATAACCGAATCATTTTTCCCAATAACTCCACCTACTGATATACTAAACCTTTGAGCAAGGTTTGTCTGAGGCCTGTTTTTACACAGCCCAAGAGCTCAGAATGGGTTTTCCAGGTGGCGCAGTGGTAAAGAATCCACTTGCCAATGCAGGAGACTCAGGTTCAATCCCCGGGAGCGGAAGATCCCCTAGAGTATGAAATAGCGACCCACTCCAGTAATCTTGCCTGGAAAATTCTATGGACAGAAAAACCTTGAGGGCGACAGTCCATGGGGTCACAGAGTCAGACATGACTGAGCACGCATGGACAAAGCTAAAAATATTTAACATTTTCAAGGTATTTTAAAATGCAGATGAGGTTGGATATGTAACAGAGAACATTTATGGCTAATGAACCTAAAACATTTACTGTCTGGCTCCTAACAGTGTATGTTTGCCAACCAATGGTGTGGATCAGTAGTTTTTTTTTTTTAGTTTGTCTTTAATCTTCTATTTCTTTAAAAATTTATTTTTTAATTGAAGGATAATTGCTTTACAGAATTTTGTTTTCTGTCAGACCTCAACGTGAATCAACCATGGGTATACCTATGTCCCCTCCCTCTTAAACCTCCCTCCCATGGATCATTGGTTGTTAAAGTGTGGTTCCTAGAGCAGCAAGCAGCACTTCGGAACTTGTTATAAATTCAGATTTTCAGGCTTCAACACAGACTTGCTGAATTAGAAACCCTGGGAATGGAACCCAGCATTGTGTGTCTTAACAAGCTCTCCAGGTGATTTTGATGCATATTAATTTCTGAGAATCACAGATCTAGAGAAATTTTTGTACCTGGTGAAAAATCACGGCTTCTCTGGAGGCTCAGTGGTAAAGAATCCGCCTGCCAATGCAGGTGATGCAGATTTGATCCCTGGATGGGGAAGATCCCCTGGGGAAAGAAATGGCAACCCATTCCAGTATTCTTGCCTGGAAAGTCCCATGGACAGAGGAGCCTGGTGGGCTACAGCCCTTTGGATTGTAAAGAGTTGGAAACAACTTGGCAACTGAGCACATGAGGAATAACAGTACTGTACATAAGAGCTTCAAACTGGAAACAGAAATGTCAATCAATAGAAAGGTTGGTACAATTAACACAATGAGAATATTTAATAGCTTGTGGTAAAGGGCATGCCATGGAGTGTACATAAAAGGCAGACAGACTGCTTGTTTGAATCCCAGCTCTACCAGAGTAGCAGCTGTTATGACCTTGGGCAAGTTACTTGACCTCCCTAAGCCTCAGTTTCTTCATGTGTTAAATGGGCATAAAAATAGTAACTACTTTATAGGGTTATTGTGAGGATTAAATAATTAAAGTAGATGAGTGGCTGGTACATAAGTATTAGATATGAAGGACAATCTGCATTTAATGTATTATGCTACTTTAAGGAAGAACATGTCAAAGTTCACTTCATAGAAGTGACAGCAAAATATATATTTTGCATATAACAAAATGAGCAACCTGAAAGTGTAGATTTTGGAGGTTCAAATGTTGGCACTGCCCCATAAACCTGTTTTCACACGTGAAAAAAACCTTTAAATTGCTTTAATAGGATTGTGAAGAAAACTGCTGAAATGTGTATGCCTACATTTTGTCTGGTATATGGGCATTTCCTAATTGCCTTTTATTTCTTTCACCATTTCCTCAGCTCCTCCTTTCCAAAATTCCTCAGCTGTCTTGATAGTCCCTGAGAAACATTGCCAGAACTAGGTGCAAAGTGGCTTCCTTGACTGTAAGCAGATTTGGCTTTTTCCACGAATCAAGGTCATGAGAGTCAGTGTCTAGTGTTTTCTCAGCTATGCCCCCGGAGCCAAGTCTGAGCCTAGATCTAGGACAGGGCTGTACTCCTGGCATCTCCTGGGATTTCACCCTTTTAGCTGCTTTGGCATATAAAATGCTTAGCATGTATTTAGCAACGCCTTAACACTGAACAGGCACACAAAGAAATAGAAATTTCCACCCCCTCTGTGGAGGCCACGTCGTATTTTTTCTACATCCCAGTACCTAGAACGCAGTAGGCCTTATAATGTATGTTGCGTTAAACCTGTTTGAACGGATGTGCCCTTCTCGGTGGAGCTTAAAAACCTCCATTTCCTAGAGTGAGTTTAGCTGCAAGCAGCTAAAGCCACTGACTGCATTTTACGCTCGTCTAGAGCAGCAACCTGCAGATACCTAGTACAGGAAGAAGAATCACTACATTTTCTCCCCCTTAACATTAATTATATAAACGGACCAGAAAAATCAGTCCCCCAAAGGGCACAGCGCAAAAGGCACAGCCTTGCAGCCACCGGCTCCTGTTACGCCGCGATCTCGAAGGGCGACGAGGCCCGAGCCTTGGGCCGGAGAAAGGCAGCCTCCTTGTGACGTCAAATCAGCGGACTCTCGCCCCGGCTTCAGGCCGGTTCCGGTTCCCCGGCTTTCCGGGCGCGAGAGTACGTGAGCGCGGCGGCGTTCTGCGCGTGCTCCGCAGAGGGACGCGAGAAGGTTGGGTCCAGCTCGCGGAGGAGATGCGTGATTGGCTGAAGCCGTGCTGGGGGGTTCCCCAGCCCTTTCGGCAGGGGTAAAACAATAAGAGGGGGAGGCGGCAAAGGGGGCGGGACGTCCGTGTTCCTTGTCGCTCGCCGCAGCGCCTGGTGCCCGGGAAGAGGTGGTTGTGAGGAGAACCAATTCTCGGCTCTTCGGCTTCCTTGGCTTGAGATTTGTCAGAGGGAGGGGGCGGCGAGTGAGAAGAACCCTCTGCAGCCGGTTCTCGGCGACTCTCCCGCTGACCTCCGCGCGACGTACCCGCCGCCGCTGTTGGTTGGAGGTGTGTACGGGGGCCGGGAAGGGCGGCCGGTGTGGTGGTCGGAAGGGGACATTCCTGTCGCCCGCCGCGGCTCGCGGCAACCGTTCTGTGCGTGAGCCCCGGTGTCGGAGGTGTGGAGGCCGAGAGAGACATTGTTCTTGCCGGCTGCTGCCTACGCTGCTGGTGTGTGCGTGAGAGAAGCCGAGCCTTTCCTCTCAGGTGAGGGATGGGAGGCCGCGTGGGCAGGGAGGTGACCGGCCCGCGTCGTGCGGACGTAGGGCTCCGAGGGCACAGGTGGGGCCGGGGTTGGTTGGGGATGAGGTGGCGGGCTGGGTAAGGGAACGCAGCGGCTTCCAAAGGCACGCTGATGGAGCCTTCGGACGGGACGAGGGGGAGTGGGCTTGCCGGAGAGGATGTTTTCGGGTGCGGAGCCCCCCACTCTCGTCCCCGACTGTTGCGGCTCTTATTCCCGGTTCCCCGGGAACGGGGAGGCCGCCGCTGCCGCCCCGCCCGTGGGGGAGGGGAAAAGAGGCTGTGTCGGCGGAGGCAGAAGCGACGCAGATGCGAAAGTAGCGGCCTCCGGGCACCATTTCTCTGCACGGAAACAGAATCCGGGTCTGAAGGCAGCCGCCGCTTTGCTTACCCCAGTACCTGGTGTTCCGCGGTCTCTGACCCCCCTCGGTTTTATCCCGAGCGAGTTCTGAAACCCGGGCTATATATAACGTGCTCCTTCTCCGTGCCCTTTAATGCAGGCGATCTCTTACTGACTCAGGAATAGAAGAGGTGTTTGCGTGCTCTGGGGAGGGGGTTTATTTCTTTTCTCCCATCTCTTTCTTGGGGAGAGTGGGAAGGATAGTCAAGGAGAGGAACATAGCGTCCCTAGGTTGTGTTAATTTTGTTAGTTGAATCCGATCGAATTTTACCTGCATCTCTATAAAGGCAGATTTCTTAAGATGGCCCTGTGCCGCTTTGGGGCTAGTGTAGATTGCAGCTACAATTTCCCGCATAGATCAATTTTTTTTCCTCTCCAAGGTATGCCTAATTTCTTAACAGAATTTTTTTTTTTTTTTTTGGGAGAGTCAGTGCCTTTGCTGTCTTAAAAATCAAACAAAAACAAAACCACACACGTGCACCGAAGCTGTAATAATAGCAAAGTTATTCCGTCTTGCCCCCCATATGATTGTTGTGATAATAACTTAGGTCGAAATAACTGGCTTTAGCACCTCGTGCTGGTCTCTCAAATGTTAGCATTGCATGTACCTGGATCCGTGAAACATTAACTGCAGTTTGGGGAGCCTCCTGTATTAGATAGGAAGAAAATGGGAATTCCTTGTTTAGCTCCATATTTGGCAGTTAATATAGCCTTAGGCATGTGAACAAAGTTTCAGAGTAAACATTTGGCCCTGTTAGTATTCAGTGGTCCTTTTGATGTCCACAATTCCTGGTCTCAGAAAATAGATGGTATGATTCGTTTAAACTGAAATGTGTCGTTTCTTTGGTGATATTATTTTCCCGTTAAATATTTAGGATTAGCTCTGAGTAAACGTGTTATGATTTCATCTCTTGAGGCTGTTTAATTCTGAAAAGTTAGCAAGGAATTGAAGGGAGGATAAGGACCTCAAATGGATTTCTTTCTATTTAGCAGATATTATAGTTCAAGTTGTTGAATATTCAGGGGTTGAAATATTTGTCAATAAGTAGCAAGAGGAAAGAACCAGAATGTTTGTGGGGTGGATGGGGATCAAAATTGGAAGGAGAAGTAAATGTCTTTAATTTGGTAGTCGAGTGAGTGTTCAGTTAGTAGGTGAGGAGAATTGCTACCAGACAGCTCTTGAGTTTGAATAGTATTGGCACTGGGCAGTAGGTTATTTTCATTATCCACAGTTCACTTAATGAAAATGTCCCTATCAGTTACTGAAAATATATAAATACCAGTAGGTTAACAGTTAGGTTAACAGTTTCCTGGTTCTGAAGAATTATTGCTGTTGATTGCCCATTATCAGGATTGAAAATTCTTTCCTTGATTGCTTTAAATAAGACTTATCCCCACATATTTTATACTGAGCGTGTATGGAGGTGAGGAATGACCCTTTTCAAGGCTGATTTTGATAATTACAAACTAGAGGGTTGTTCCTGAACTTGAATTCAGTAGAATTTAATTGACAGACAGGACTCTCTCCACTGGGAAACATTTAAAAGCTGACAGAACAAACAAGTTCCATCTCTTGGAACTCTGGACTGGCTTCAGCAGCAATGTGATCAGTTTCTTGATGGCTTTCCCTCAGCTTATTTTTATCTTTTAAATTCTAGATGTTTTACCCTATGTTGATACTGTAGGTATGTTGGGATGACTATTGTGGATTTCCTTTTATGTTACTGTCTTCTATCTTTTAACTTCTCCCTACAGTATCAAATAAGCTAACAGTTGGACTTTAAATTTTTTTTTTTTATATTCTTGCTTCCCTGGATGGTCTTCAAAAGTGGTTGTTCTTAAACAGATATAATGAAAAATCACTGTTCCAGGGAGGAGACCTGATTTCAAATGCTCTCATAACTGAGGGACTTTGAACTCCTTTCCTTAGGCTCTCAACATTGTGGCTTCCTTTTCTGTAAATGAAGCTATTATCTTATCTATCTTAAGGAGGTAAAGGGATGTGTAGGTTACTTGTTAAAGGTTACCTTAAAGCACACTAATTTTTGTGGGGAAACATTTCCATTTCTTTAATGCTTGGTCGCTTTTAATACCTCTGAACTTAAAAACTCACCTCCCTACCTCAGAAAGAAAAGGCTTAATTCACAACTATCTCTTATTTCTGTGACTGGTGCTTAGATCTTGTTTGTGATGCTTTCATTCTGTGGCGTGCCACAACAAATTGAAGGTTGCTGCTTTCAATAGATAAGCATTGCTGTTTTGATTGGTAAAGTCATTTTAAACAGAGACCTTTTGGTAATTTTAATATGGGGTTAGCTGTTAAGAATGGGTATTCCAGCCCATGCTTCAGTGACAGTGGACCTGGGCCTGACTAGTATGAGCCAGCCAGAAGTGAGGGGCTCTGGAGAGGAAGGGGTGGGGATAGTTATCAATAGTAGAGGTAAGTTCTGTTCTAGCATAGACATAACCTTTGGTAACAGAGTTTCTGATAAGAGAACTGCATCCTCTTCCTAGGATCTTTTTTTTTTTTAATAAAAAGTAAGATAGAGTACTACTTCTAACTTCACAATACTGAGAAATTATTTTTGTAGAATTTTTTCTGTTTTCCAAAATGTCGTTTTCTTTTGGCTTCTTGACTTTTTAAAAAAACAAGACAACACGGGGTCTCAACTTTTTAGCAGTTTTTATTTTGGATATTTTTTCCCCAAGTATTAAATTGTGATGGAATTTCGTGTAATTAGTTTACAATAACTGAAATTCGCCATCCCCAACTGTTTGAGCCAAAGATCTTGCAGTTCTCATCACTTGTTATAGATAGTGGTCAGAATATTCCAGACTCTTTGAAGAGTGAATTTTTGATTCTGCATTTTGATACTTATGGGGTTTCCCAGGTAACTCAGACATAAAAGAATCTGCCTGCAATATGGAGACCCTGGTTTGCTCCCTGGGTTGGGAAGGTCCCCTGGAGAAGGGAATGGCAACCCACTCCAGTGTTCTTGCCTGGAGAATCCCCATGGACAGAAGAGCCTGGTGGGCCCCATGGTGGGTCCGTGGGGTTGCAAAATGTAGGGCACGACTGAGCAACTGTCACTCACTTTGATACTTATATTTGGTTGAGGTGTAGCTAGGTGTTTAGCAGTTTAGATTTTATGATCATGTGTAGATAGAGCCATTTTATTACTGAGTAGAGAACAGAGGTGCCATTTCAGAGATCCCTAAGATTAAAAAGGATTAAAGGAACACAAAAGTATTTCACCTGGATAACCTTATCTTTTGTATTGTATTCTGCACTGATCATTATTTTGCAGTAGTAGATCTAAAGAATTAATTTAATTTTCCCGTCAAAGTGCATACATTGCCCTTCTTGTTATTGAAATCATACTTAGTTGCAAATTTTATATTTCATTATTTTCCCCCTATGGTTTTAGCTTTTGACAATATTTTAATGACTACATATGAACTGATGTTCCACAGTTGGGTTTCAGTATATTATTACATTTTTGTTTTCAAGACCATTAATTTAACATTAGGCTATCAGAAAAAAAAAGTACTATATAGGTAAGCACACCAGATGTTTTTAAAATTACCTCTTGGAAACAACAAAATTCCGCTGTACCTTTGGATCTAGGCAGTAAGTTTCTTTCTGTTTCTCTTTCTCTATGTAGCTGCTCATTTTAAATTCCAGCATGGTATAGCTTTACTAGTCTGTTTTCCTCCACCTACTCAACTTTATCTTCAGTTAGTTGGTAGTATTTAAGCACACTCAAGACTTTAAGCATAAATTGTCACTAATGTAGGCATAATGTCAGATTATTTTTGCTCTGCTATTAGTGCTAAATTAATTTTCACACTTTTGATCTTTATTTTAGAGCCATGTTTTCAAACCAATAACATATTGGTTATGGTTATCAAAAACCAAGTGAAAATTTTAAATGTTTTTTAAAGTTACAAAATTAATTATACTCTTTTTAATACTCAGTAAATAGTTTACAGGTGGTGGTATGAATTGAAATGCAGTTTTTTTTTCCCCTAGACATTTTATCTTGTATACTTCTTTTTGTATTATCCCTCCCCCCCAAAGATGGGATTTGTAGCATTCTAGAATTTACTATTTCTCCCAGCAGTCTTGATTCCAGCTTGTGATTCATCTATCCCAGTACATCACATTATGTCCTCTGCATATGAATTAAATAAGCAGAGTGACAGTATACAGCTTTATGTTCCTTTCCCAATTTTGAACCAGTCTGTTGTTCCATGTCCAGTTCTGTTAATAACTCACTTCTTGACCTGCATACAGGTTCCTCAGGAGACTGGTAAGGTGATCTGGTACTCCTATCTCTGAAAGAATTTTCTACAGTTTGCTATGATC